ACCCTCTGCATCTGGCAGTCCCAGCGCGGGAAAGATTCCCACATCCTGGGCTCCCAGGCCCAGAAAACCCACTAAACTGCCATTGTCCCCAAGTGAGTGTACCCACCAATCTCAGGAATCCACGAATGGTAACTGCCTCTGTTTGTGGGATCCCTGGGTGAAACCAGGCAAGGAAGGCAACCCGTCCGTGCGTCATTACGTATGACGTTACATTAGAAGTGGTCTGCACATGCGCGGTCACCTAATAGAACGCGAACACTGGCAGATTTAAAAGGGAGAAGATCAAGACAGAAGCTCCTGAGTAAGTCGGATGACCGACGAAACGTATTGAGCCCAGCTGTTCATGACCCTGTACCTTGGTATAAGCAGTCTTTTATATTCACTTAAAAGACGTTGGCATTTTACTATTCTGCACTTTATTTTGGTACATATGGACTGGACGCTGTGAGGGAATATTGGGGTTAGTGACTCTGTATATAGTATATATAATATATATATTATTTTCCCACCCTTACTTATGTCTATACCATCCATTGTTTTTATTGTGTAATGTGAAGGGATAGTTTGTCAGTGGCTCCCAGAAGTCACTTCTAGTACTCTATACTCCCTTTACTTAAGAATTTCTTTCTTTATATTGTCATTAAAGCTGCTAACCAGAAGGGTCTTGAGCCTATTTAGGCTGCATTTTGAGAGTATTATTTATATATTTTTTACATGAATTTGTTTGAATAAATTGTTAATTTTAACTTTTTTTTCTCTTTATTCTTGCTATTTTTTGTCTCAGTACTGTAACGGATCACCTGGCACCCCGACTGGGTACCTCCATTGAAGGATGCTACTAGTGCTTCCTGAGGGCTCCAAACACTCCAGCCGACACCATAACCACCGTAGACTCCTTCTGAGAGCAAGACAGGAACAAGCTCTTAAAAGAGCTTAGAAGTGATTATCCAAGGGAGCATGCAGAGCATAGCAATCCCTTGTAGTGATATAGCAATTCCCCCAATAAGAGACAGGACTCTAGATTGAGGATGAAGAAGAACTGTTTTACTTGGCACTAAAGGGCCTTCTTTTATGGAGTTCTTACACACTTAGTACCACCCACAGGGTTTTTCAGAACAACCAATAAACACATTACAACACATACAATGCAAGTACAGCAGCCAATCAGACACAATGGGACAATAGAAACACACCCATCATATTCCTCCTCTCTGCTTAGGAGATAATTGAGTCAATTACTGTATCTACTCAATTATCTCCAAGCTGAAAAGTTACACTTTTAATACATTTTTATAACTTTGTGAGTTTATAAAACTTATATTATTTTAATCATTATAACTTGGACATATGCAAAATTCACTTGAATAGGTTCAGGGGTTTAAAAGTTAGGTCGAAGTCCTTTATCACTTGCAAGCATGGCTTTTCCTGCCCAAACCAGTTCCCACTGGTCTGGCAGTGTCCCTGGGACAATGCCCTGTTGGAGAACAATGGAACTGGGGTAGGGAAGAGCCACACCTCCCAGGGATTCAAAGGGAAAGAAAAAGTGTCCAAAAAGTTTCAATATGTCCATACACTGTTTTTAAAGGGCCAGCACCATACAATAAAAGTCCATAAGCCCAAATGCTGGTTTAAACGGGTACAAACTCCCAGGGGCCATAGTTGCAGGGCAGGAGGCTGGCAAGCAGGCCTCTCCAGGACCAAGTGGCGAAGTGCACAAGCTGGTATTTACAAGTGATTGTGGCACCCTGGTATCTGGTATTGATTTTATCTTTACTTTATGGTTTTTATGTAAGTACAAGGTTAGGAGTGACCTCTGAACAGAGGCTTGCCTGCACGTTACTTTCATCACTTTCCCCACCCACCTGGCTATTACTGTTTTTTTTGCATCTAATTAATAACACCGGACCAAAGGAAAGGCAACCTTGACAAATGCCTGCTGAGGAGGGAGTGATTTTGGATACATTGTCTAAAGACACTCTTCCCTCTGGGACTTAATGAAGGATTTACATTCTTTGCATTTATTAACGACCTCTAAAATATTATATTATTCAAAGATTGATTACTAATACAACAACTAAGCTATCCACTATTTTACCAAAAAATGCAACCATTTAGTAGATCTTCAGCGGCTCAGCATGACAACTATGTCCCAACATCTCCATAATTTTCTTTATTGCTCCATTAATTGGAAAATATATCAGGGACCTATAACCCACATAACCCTATGATAGACTACAGTGAAAAGATGGAGTTCTACTCTTAAGTTTCTATTTACAGATCAGATGTTATAAAAAAATAATAAAATAATACTACTTGCGAGAATGATTGCAGAATTCCAGAGAGGAATCTATAGCCCCTTTGCCAAGAAATTGCTAGCTTTGATTTGTCATACTTACTTAAGCTGTGTCTAAAGTTACTTATCTTGTCCCTCCCATCTCTCCAGATTTTTCGATATCATCTTGCTTTGTATACTTATCTTACATTTATTACCCTACTTTTCTACTCCAATAACCCCTGTACTACCATTACAGCCAATTGACAATTTAGGTGATCTCTCCGTATTATAATACTGTTTTTTTTTCAATCAAACTCCCCTTTCCTTTTTCAACGATTGCTCCAGATTATTTGGAAATTGTAAATCATGAAATGATGGGATGTATATTATACTAATAGAGAATATATAGAAACACGATATATCACCTGTTGTCTCGATTTTTAGGATCACTATATCTAATTAGCATATAGATACAACTGTCAGTTTTATGTTTATTTTTGGAAATGGATAATAAAGCATTTTATATAATTGAATAGACGGTTAAATGTTTTTTTTTTGTTGCTATATTGCAGCAATATTGCAAAAAAGGAAAAGTGCATCATCGAGACAAGTTGTGTTGAGTTCATTGGATTTATTATTCAACCCGGCAAAGTAGAGATGGATCCACGCGAGGTGAAAGCCATACTATAATGGCCAGAACCCCAGACAATGAAACAAGTACAGAGATTCAAGTGTTTCGCTAACTTCTATAAAAGATTTATACGGAATTTTTCCAAGGTCGTTCAACCTCTTACTCGTCTTACTAAGAAAGATGTGAATTGGTACTGGGACCATCAAGTACAAACAGCATTTGACAAACTCAAACAGATGTTCACCTCGGCACCCATACTTCATGTACCATGTAGCGAAAATAGCCTAGCCACTGGTTCTTGGAGAGGCCTGTTTGCCAGCCTCTTGCCTCAGGACTATGGGCCATGTAAAAAGGCTCATAAAAGTCTTTGTGCCTATTTTGCTATCCTGTTTAGGAACCGAACAGACGCATGAACCAGTGACCACCTGGGAACTTGTTAACACCTATTAACACCTTGAAACAGTTTTCACCACAGTGTTCTAATTGTTCGTTTGGGTTGATGCAATTCCTATGAACAACCACAAGGTGACAGCCATCTTGTTCACATGAATGCAGGCAGCGATGTTTGTGCATGAATCTCATGAAACTTAAATTGAACACAGAAACTCCAGAACACCGCTGGACTTCCATCATCACCTGCGTTTGGTTCTATACAATTTGGAAGGGCACTGTTCGGTGAAATCGTTTGTCTGGATGAGGGAAACAAGCTCCAGGGTAAGAACATTGGTTATGTTTGGTAGTTTGTTCATTTTCCAAACTTCCGAACTAGACCGACCGCAAGCCCTGATCCTCTGGAACTGGTTTGGGCATGGGACAATGCGTGCGGTCGGTCAAAAATAAGACTTCCAGGAATTTCCTTAACCCCTGAACTGATCTGGGTGATTTTTTGATATGTTGGTCACCCAGATAACGGCTATTAGGGGATGTGTTTTGGGGGGGGTTTTAATGTATTTTTGGGGTTTTATAAAAATGTGTATTTTTGTGTTTGAAGATAATTGAGTTAATACAGTATTTGACTCAATTATCTCCCAGGCAGAGGGGAGGGATTGCAAAACAAAGAGTAGAGTCAGCGCTAATCGGTTTAGAAGGAGAGAAAGGCAGCAGTCCCAGGCAAGGACTCCCTCAAATGTCCTTGGAATAGGTAGGCAAAAGCAAATAAATAGGGGACGAGTCTGCGCCAATATACAAAATAAGTAGCAATAACAAGTCCTGAATGGGATAGTAAAACGGAGTTCAGTAGAGTAGAGTATTGGATCTTATATGTGGTCTCCGAAGTTGTAAGGTTCTACTTGTTGCGGTATCCAAAACTGTGGAGGGATTGTATGATTATGTATGGGAGTGTCGTGTACTTGAACAACTTTGTCATTGGTCTGTAACTTTGTACTGTAGTCTTCCATCAGGTCCAGGTGGGAGTACCCCTTGCATGGGGACTTGCATATAAAGCCAGTAGTGGCTACCATTAAATTAGTTCCTGCTTACCCTCAACATAGAGTCTCATGTGTGGGGGAAACAGTTGTAGCTACTATGGGGATTGCTATATCACTATACTCCCCTGGGATTCTAATCACTTGCTCTTGTAAGAGCAGCCTCCTTTGCTCTCTGGACTAGGAGAGGTCTACCCACTGGAAGCTGAATCCTGGTCTTGGGTCCAGGGTGGGTGGAAGACAGCGAAACCCCAACCAATGCTGGAATGCATTGGTTTGTCTCGCTGTCTTCCACCCCAACTGCAATGCTGGAAGTGGGGACTACAGTGCTGATGGTGTCTGGTGCTGTGCTTGTTGTACTCGGTAAGCACTAAGGAAGCAGCAATTGGCCGGTCAGGGTGCCAGGCAGCCTGCCACACACCAGAACTACATAAGCCTTTCTTCTTGGCAGTAGATGCTTCCGATAAAGCAATCGGCACCATCCTGTCATAAAGAGACAGTGACACAGACAGCCTTCACCACGTTGCTTTCTATTCAAAAAGACTGTCTGGAACTTAATCTAATTATGGGAATTAATGGCTATAAAAATGGCTTTTGAAGAATGGAGACACCTTCTGGAAGGAACGTCTCATCCAATAATCTATGATCTATACTGATCATAAGAACCTGGAGTATCTATGCACTGCCAAACGTCTAAATTCACATTAGGCTCATTGGGCATTGTTCTTCTACAGGTTCCTTTTTCCTGTCATGTATCGCCTGGGACAAGAAACCAAAATGCAGATGCTCTGTTCAGGATTTTCACTACAGTAGAAACCAAAAACAAAAGAGAAGAAACAATACACAAACCACATCACTTCTTGGGTGTCATGGCACATGTATTAAAAAATATCCAAGAACTAGCTACCACGTCCAATTTGCCTCTCTCCCCAGAAGGTTTTCCAATGTCCCATGGGAAGATCTATGTGGCAGAACCCAACCATCTCAGTGTACTACAGCATTTTCATGATGCGCCTGTTTTGGGCCATGGTGGCCAGAGGAAATCACTACAAGCCATCCAACAGCCTTTCTGGTGGCCAACCATGAGGAAAGATGTAATGAAATACGTAAGCTCCTGTATTACGTGTGCTATATCAAAAACTACAACACCCGAAAAAGTGGGTCTTTTGCAACCATTACCCATACCCTCCAGACCCTGGAGTCACGTAACTGTCGACTTTATCGTATACTTACCCATTTCCAATGGACACAATACAATAATGGTTGTCATAGACCGACCAACCAAGATGGCCCACTTCAACCCTGTGAAAAGTCTACTTACTGCAAAAAAGACAGTAACCCTCTTTCTGGACCACATATTCAAGCTACATGGCATCCCTAAATCTATCCTCTCAGACCGAGGTACACAATTTACGTCCCATTTCTGGACAGCATTCTGTCAGTCCCTGAGCATATCTGTGGATCTCTCAACTGCCTTTCTTACCCATACCAATTGACAAACTGAGAGAATGAATCAGACATTGGAGACCTGTCTACACTACACTACCCACCTGCAGTCTGACTGGAAAGAACTACTCACCACCGCTGAGTTTGTCTACAACTTCGAGATCTACGACTCTACTCATTCTTCTCCTTTTCTTTTGAATTATGGATTCCAATCTACTTCACTCTCAGGATTTCCTACATTTATCACTGTTTCTGATGCTTCTGATCTAGTTACACATTTGTCACAATGTTTTCTCCGTGCTCCGAATACGTTGAAAGAAAGCCAAGCTCTCTACTAATCATATGCTGATCATCACAGAAGACCCAATCCTTCCTATCAGGTCAACAGGTGTGGCTTTCTACCAAACATCTGAAGCTCCCTTGTTCTTCCATAAAATTGGGAGCTAAATACATTGGCCCCTTCAGTGTCAAGAAAATCATCTCTACTGTGGTCCTCAAGTTGGATCTGCCTTCTCGCTATCTCTTCCATCCATCCTTTCATGTGTTTCTCCTCAAATCTTTCAAGAACAACACATTCCAAGACCATGTTGTCCCTCCTCCTGCTCCTGTGGATGTCTCTGGTGAACCTGAATATGAAGTACAAGCCATCCTGGACTCCCGCTTTTGAAAAGGTACCCTTAAATATCTGATTCATTGGAAAGGGTATGGCCCTGAAGATAGGCCCTGGGAACCTGTGAAAAACATCAATGCTCCTTGTCTTCTCAGAGGATACCATCTCAGACATCCTTCTCGTCCAGGTCCCAGGAGTCTCCGGAAGCATCTCCTTGGAAAAGGGGTACTTTTAGGTCCCCGCTCCCATGCTCACCTACCTTGCTCTCTGGTTCCGCATCTCCCTTCATGGACATACCGTGCTGGAGCACGAGCCTCGGTGCAGCCGCTTGTGTTCATCTGAACAAACTGCTTCCCGAACGCAGCTGTTCAGAAGGAGGAGGTCCAAAGGCGAGTGCGAACCGAAGCAAAGCCTATTAAAGGGACAGTGGACAGAAGTCTGTGAAGATATACTGTGCTCCTGTCATGCTAACTACCTTCAGTGCCTGTACTGTTTTGCTTCCTGGTATTACGACTCCTGCTTGCCTCCGACTATGATCCTGTGCCGCCATTCATGACCACTCTCTGCTTGACCCTTTTGTGCTGCATTCCTGTTTACTCCAGGCCTTTTCTGCATCTTGGGCTCTGTCTCCTTAACAGCGTCCTAACAGAACCATTCTGAGGTTAGAAATCATATCGGTGTTATATGTGTGTTCCTTCATATGTGTGCCATGAGTATGTTCAATTGACTGTTACGACCATATTATATCTGATTGTATCTTATTATCTTATTATTTATATAGCTCCAACAAATTCTGCAGCGCTTGACAGTGGGTGGACGAACAAACATGTAGTTGTAACCAGACAAGTTGGACACACAGGAACATCGGGATTGAGTGCCCTGCGCAATGAGCTTACATGCTAGAGGGAGTGGGATATCTGATTGTAAACATCTTTAACTCTGTGAACTTTCCACCTAAAATAAAATTAAATAAATAAACAAATAAAGGCAATTCTGATGAAGTTATTGCTTGTGGGCCAGTTTTTCATATAATAACAGTGATCAGTCAATTTTCTCCAGTCTCTTTTAATGTTTCATTACTATATGGCAGGAGCTGTAATCAAACCACTGTAGAGCTATTCATGAGTCATCTAAACAAAACCTATTAAAGTTATATTCAGCATGCATAGTTATTTATGCCTATTTATGTCAGAGCTGTGGCTGCTTTCTCTTTAAATAAAATATCTCTAACACTAGGGATGAACAATGTTTTGTAATTTTCCATTTTACCTCTAGGGACATGTGCTGATTTATTTAATGAACGTGAAATATGTCAGTAATATGAAGGTTTAGTAGCGAGCAGGTTGCATGACTGATTAACAGCAATAATAAACCTATGCAATTTAAATTCCCTCAATATTTTTTACACAATGGAACTACTAAAATCAAATTAGGTTATTAATATAGGAACAAGTATATTCTCTTGTTTTCAACCAGTCTACACTTTTAACAGTATGTTTGACAGCTAATTAAAATATTAATAATGCAGCACAACCTTATATTATGGTATATTGTATTTTTGTCTACGTAACATTATGCAAATTAGCCTGTCTTTAAAAAAACATTTGTGATTCAAAATCACAGGATGATTACTTTAGACTAGTGTCACTGGTTCACAAAAATATAATTTCTATATAATTTGCGTGCTGCTTATATTATTTAGGCATGGTTTAGAAAAGTAGAGTGGCAACCTGGTTAGAATGCCCACCAGTGCTGGCACACACATTGTTACCTATTTATGCATAGGTGCAAAACACAGTCACAAACGGATCCCTCTAAATACTCTTACTCATGTGTTTGTGCTTGTGAGCAGTATTCAGTGATTATCTCATAGAAACTAACTTGATAAAAACCAGGGCAGAGGTAATTGAACTTCAAATCAGAATAATCGTAACAGATAAAATTGCAATAAGGTGTGTAGTTGTAATGTGTGTGTATATATAGGAAAAATGTATATATTTATGTGAATATCACATTAAAAAATCACTAGGGATGTGCATGGGCAAAAATTCAGTTTGGCACTTCCGAAATTGAGGACTTCGGCAATTTGGGACTTCGGTTCTGCACTTTGGCAATTCAGGACTTTGCAAATTCCCTACCCCTAAACCTAACCACCACAACCACTTACACATCTAGGAGTAGGGGTAGTTGTAGGATTAGGATTAGATTCCTGTCATCATTCATGTAATTTTCGCTCCCTCTCTTGTTTTGCCACTTTTCAGAAATCCGAAGCACTTCGGCACTTACAAAATTTGGTAATTCAGCAATTTGGAACTTCGGCAATTCGGTTTGGCACTTTGGAAATTCGGCAATGAGCCAATTCGGACATTCGGAAGCATCCGAATGTCTGAATTGCCCAAATCCATCTGAATTTACATTTGGAATGAAACAAATTGCACGTCTAAAAATCACTCTCTCGTGATACAATGAAAAGCATACCATTAGCAATTACATCCAATAAGATGATGCTACCATTGTTTAATATGCCTTACAAAATATAAAACATACATGGCATAAAACCTTACAGTAACAAATTATGTAGATAATTGAAATGAATGCAATACTACCACTCAACATATATATTTTGACAGCTGACCTATAATGCTCTTCTATTGCTGACCCGTAATTATTAACACATAACCATGTAATAACATGTGGATGGTGCAGTGACCATATCTTCATTGAAAACATTTTGTAAACCAGCATAGCAACATAAACAACATGTCAGCTGCTTGAGGAAGTACCAACAGGCAGTTAACTTAATCCAGGTCCAAGAGTCCAGTGCAGTCTGCCCGCGGCCATCAGATATTTTACAGACAGCAACTCACCCATCCCTGGTTCAGACAATAATTCTGACATAATGAAAGTGCTGGCTACAGACCATGTAAGCAGTGACAAAAAGAAAGAACAACGAAGAAACAAATAACATATTGATGGGACAAAAAGGGCAGGAAGGAGAGAAGAGCAGCAAGTATACTAAACTGTCCATTGGAATTTGGCTTACCTACCCATAAATTCCCACTTACTATAGCCTAGGTAAACAGCATAATCCCCTAAAAAAGCTAAAAAACCTGTGGGCAGTAGTCACGTTGCCCCTTTTTTAGTGTCCAAAGGCACTCTGTACTCTCAGAGCCCTCCCATGTATGAAACTGAAATTTGAAACTCCTGCAAGGTGTTATTCCTATAGCTCTTCTTTGTACTTCACACCATTCATATTTATATACATATTTATACTTATTGTGGGGCTGTATGAAAACAATGTAATGATGGAGAAGGCTATGTGAGATGTCCCTGATACATTCACTAACATTTATCTGTAGTTTACTGGTGTAACACTTTTTTTACATGGCAGTCTTCAATCTTCTCCTTAAAAGATGTGAATGTTTCTGGATCTACAGACTCGGCACCCTGTCCCTGAATGGTTTAAATGAGGGTTCTATGTTCTCACCCTTTATTGACCAATGCAAATAATTTAAGGCTTTTTTCTAAATAGTTTTTTTTCGTATTCAACTTTGTCACTTTTTCACACTGTTATTTGAAAGACGTTCTAAATTTGAAGCGTGTTTATCTAAGCCATCTACTTATAGGACCAGTTACACCTGCTATTTTTGCCCAGTTGTGGTCATACATTGAAAGCAAACCCAAAGCTCAGTTTAGTAGACTTGGGCCACTATGCAACTTTATATATCATGTTAAACTCTGATCACACTTAAGCACCGGTCTCCCTGAGCATCAGAGGCAATAGTTCTATTTGAATTATTTCTATATACCATGAACCTGAACATATAACATTAAGATGAATGTCTATTCAATTATCTTCTATGATTTATATGGGTTTGCATGTTTAATTTACCTGAACGTTTGAGTAACAGATGAAAAAAAACTGTATTCTATTTTCATCACTTCACATATGAATGCCCATAAAGTTTTAGATGAATGGTTTCCTGTTCTGGCATGGGTTAATACAAAACAGTTAACATAGGATCGTTCATTTCTTTATTCATGTTATACACGTTAATAGTTTGTGTAATACCATCAAAGCCTGTTCATTAGTTTCTACCACAAATGCAGATGAACATTCATATATTTACTTTGAGGTCAGTATATGTTTGTTTGTTTTTACATGAAAAGAGCTGGTTATTCGTGCGGTTTTCTCTGACTAGTTGTACACGAATCAGCTGTATTCACTGATTACATTGAGAACTATTCCCTCCCCACTATACGGTGATTGGAGGACCATTTGGGAAATTAATTGGTTTAATTTATTTAAACATGGTAGCTCAGTTTGTCATTTCCATGCGCCAGATGAAGGTGCAATTTTGGTGCTGAAATACGTGTCAGGCTCTTTTGCGCCACATTGATTTGAGCACTTTTTGATTCACTAGATTGGTCGCTGTTGGGGATAACTCCATGGTAAAAATTAAGGGAGGTTGGAGGGTCATCCCTATTAATAATCACCTTGTTACTGAGAGGAAGGGTGAATGGAACTTGCTGGGGCAAACCCACTAAACAACTTTTTAGTCCCTCTTACTTATCCTTATAGTTTGAGTATTAATCAAATATTATTGTGGCAGATTCTTAAAGTGGTCTTTTAGTATAATCTAATTTTGTCCATATAGTCTTATATCTGCTAAGATTTAATTCAAACAACTTTGGGGCATACTATCTGTCTACTGGGACCCGGTTTCTCTCTCTCTAATGGAAAATCTGCCATTCTAAAATATTTGTGGTTATACATTGTACACAAGTGCGTTGTTTTATATTTTGTCACTCCACCATTTCTACCGTGTGTGTGTGTGTGTGTATATACCCAGAAGAGCATTCTCTAGTGGTTTTTTTTAAATTTGTTTAAAATCTATTTTTGTGAGAGACCTTTTGTCCGTCTCTTTGCGACGTCAGGGGCTATCCCTGTCTAAGACCCAGCTGAATTGCTCCTTCTGTGAAATGGATGACTTATGTGTACCTTCTTAAATATAAACCCACAGTGTTTAACACCCATCATGCACCACAGCCTTAATGGCTTCCTAATGTGCGTATGTATTGTCTCTTACTCTATTTTTTCTAATTGTTGTATATTCTAATAACATTGTTCTACCATTGTTGTATTTATTGGAGGGATCTCCTCTTTTTTTTTTTTTTTACCCCATTTGTCTATTTAGTAATTTATTTACACTGCGGTTTTGCCTATTAACTCTACGAACTTTACCTGTAAACGGACAGCTAATCTCTGACCCAAAACCATGTGTAGAAACATTTTAATCAATTTAATCATGTAGACAGTTTTGCTTTTATTTTTTGTTGCCAGAAATATTTCTTTGTTCATGCAAATACATGCAGCAAACATTTTCACCTTTCTTACAAGCATGTTTCCCAGGGAATATAGCATATGTTAAAGTGAAACCCTGCAGCCACCGTGTACACATTAGTAAACTCAGATGTTTCACTAGACTATTCTGCAAAAAAAATTATATTTCTCAAATACAGTATCTGACAGATCCAGGACACAAGAGTTTTACTATGCATAAAAAAAAAATTAGGACTGAGCCAAACGTTTTTATGAAAATATGGAGTGTAGTGTATTCACTCATCGATCAAACCAACTGATGTAATTTATCAAATTCGTTATAAATCACAAGTTTGGACATATGCACTTTTTTATCGATTTTTAGATCGTAAATTCAATAAAAGGTATGGGCTATTTTAATCCTATTTAAAATATAGAGGATTTTATATAGTCACACTGTACTTGACATATTAACCTGTAGATTGCTTCTATTAACTATGTATTGAACACTGAACTGTTTAAAGTGATTAACGCTTTTTTGATAATTTTCCCTGATTTCACAATCTCTATATATCACATAACATCTACCCCAAATGTTTTAACAACTATGCTGATGTACCTTCTTAATATTAAAGGGACACTCCACTGTTCAAATAAAATACAATTTAAAAAAAATTATCAATATTTAGCAGGTATACCCCAAAGAAAATATGCATTACTTTAATTATGATTTTTATTTTTATTTTATTGTGATATATCTAAAAACAGCTTGCAATACTATGGATAACTTATTTGCAGCCTTTGAAAACCCACCCCCTTTCTTCCCAAGCCGAGACTTTCTATGGGTGTCTATTCACAGATTTCCCTTAGCAGCTCAATGAGCAGTGTTTGCAAGGCAGGTGCTCTGGGCAATTGCCTCTCTCTCAAGTTTAGCTCCACTAAGGTAAACAACCATGTACTATTATGACCAGTTGTCTGTCTGACAGATGGGGAATGTAACAAGGTTAATTTATAAATGTGCCAATTTCTAGGAATATCTGCACTTTTTATGAAATGGAAAGAATGAAAACACACTCTCCCCACCTAAAGCACTATAGGGGTCTGTAGTGTCACTTTAAGTTAAATTGTTTTATTGGTTATAGTTATGTTGGTTACTGACTTGTTAGTTACTTCCACAAGTTCTTAATTGTTTTAACTTGTCATGAAGCTATTACTATGCTAATACTTACAAGTTAAAAAAAAACAAATATATATATATATATATATATATATATATATATATATATATAAAAAATATTCAAAAAAAAAAAAACACATTAGGATTGATTCACTTGGGGTCAGAAAACCCCCCAGAATATTTACTAGTATGGCTCACAGTTAATAAAAATAGCATATCTAGCCACTTCTAGTGGAAGAAGAGTTCTGATGGAAGTCAGCAACATGTTTAGGCATATTTTGTAAAATATGTGTAAATAGGTGATATCAAAAGAAAACCATCTCAAATCAAGCACTCACTACTAACCTGACAGTTAAATGATCGTATAAAACACAATTTATGGCACTCCTTAACCTGGCCTGTATTTACATGTTATTCTATCTAGAGCAATGGGCTTAGGAGTGGAAAGACCGAAAAGGAGACAAGATCACATTTAGGTATAGTAAATTACAAGTAGCATGATTTACTATATATTTACAAGCATGTTTTGGTAACAGATTTTATTTTATACATATTTATTCTCTATTTTGTTAGTGTGAGTGAATAAGTGCAAAATAGCGACTAAATTAGTGACTGATCAGGAGTTACTGACTGAGGTTAGGGCCACAGACTTATAGGTAAAGTTTTGATGAAGAGGACAATATATGTCCTAATTCTATCCATTATCAGTATGTTGCACTGTGTAATATTGTACTGGAGAAGACAAAATGGCCTGTTGGACACAGAGAACGACCAAACATAACACTGATGCAGTTAACATTGTGGAGAACACCAAGAGCACTCTTAAATTCCTCTAAAAAAAAGTGTGAATGACTACAAAAGAATCCTTAAAAACAAGTTTTGTCTGCATAGGCAAACATCAAATAAGACCTCCAGCTGAGGTACTCTTTAACAACGTGTTCCTATAGATGCTGAAGAATTTAGTGCAATGCAAGAATGCATTAATTTCCATTAAAAATGATACTTGTATCTTATCCTTCTTCCAAATTGTCCTTGTGTATCATTCTTGTTTTGATCTGTCCCATTAGTCTGCTTCTGTACTTTTAAGTGTGGGCAGATTTAGAATTGCATTTATTCACAGGTGTACATAGGTCACTTAAAACATTTGGGGCATATATGTATATTGGCATCCTCATCATGCGTGTTTTTGTGTCACTCCACAAAAACATGCTTTTGTCTGTCTCTCCTGACACTTTTTTTTCCTTCCTATTCTCCCCTTTAGATCCCTTTGTGTTTTAACCCATTTCACTCTCTTGTGTGTCTCTTAACCAAGATTACTTCTCATGCATCTCTTAACCCCTCTTTACCTCCTGATCCTTTTACCCCTTTTTGTCCCCTACAAATATAGTGACATGCATAAATATATAGACATGCAATTATACATGCACTCATATTGTCACATACTTATACTTATAATCACAGCCCAAACAATTATCAATTAATAACCTTAAACTTCTAAGTAGTGATGTCGCGAACCCAAAATTTTCGGTTCGCGAACAGCGAACGCGAACTTCCGCAAATGTTCGCGAACCGCCCGAAACGCCATTGACTTCAATGGGGAGGCGAATTTTAAAACACACAGGGACTCTTTCTGGCCACAATAGGGATGGAAAAGTTGTTTCAAGGGGACTAACACCTGGACTGTGGCATGCCGGAGGGGGATTCATGGCAAAACTCCCATGGAAAATTACACAGTTGATGCAGAGTCTGGTTTTAATCCATAAAGGGCAGAAATCACCTAACATTCCTAAATCACAATGAATATGGATTGACAACTGACATATGACATATTGACACCTTGACATATGGATTGACACCTGTCCTCAGAGCCCCTGATGCACACGGACAGAGA